AAACCTGTTTTTAACTTCTAACAAAAGTTGTAGAGAAGAGAATTTCGAGCATAATAGTAGTTGAAATGCTAAAATCAGCTTAGTAGATCATGAAATATGGACATTTTTGTCTTCATGACTATATATTACTTCTTTGTTTACATAAAAAGTAAATATATAATCGCAAAGACAAAAATGTCCATATCTCATGATCTACTAGGCCAATTTTAATGATTTAACTATCATTTTGCTCGAAATTTACTTCTCTACAACTTTTATTATAAGTTAAAAAAGGTTTGCTTAGTAATAAATCAATTTATTTTTGGGAAACTTCAGATTCTAAAAAAAACAATTTATATAGTAAACATATCCCCAAAGTTTACTATGTTTTTTTACTGGTTTCCTCATAGATCACGAATTAAAGATAATATTGACCAAAAAGAAACTATAACACCTTTACTTTGAAGTATCTATTATGATTTACTAATTAACTATATATTACAAATATAAAGAATATACTTCTTCAGTCCAATAGCCTACACAATTTAATTCTATAAGACACAAAACCAAATCTGTATAATATCTATTCTAGTATATATAAACAATATACTATAACTCAGTTCATCTATTAACCAACTCCAACAAATAATTTGAATAGCTACATCCTTCTATATAATAGCTCATATCAAAGTAAATCTACAAAAATCTATATTTACCTCAAATATAAACCTTATACTTTAAATTAATTTTATAAACCATACCATTCCTACACAACCAATACATACTTTATTCAAATTTTTGGGTTGCTGATTTACAGCTACTTTAAAATATAACAAACAAATCAAACTCATCAAACAAGAAGCATCTGAACTTAACAACATACTTAAAACTAAAAATATAACAGACAAACAGGCCACTTAGTGCTTACTCTACTATTTTGTTAAAAGAAATTTAGAAAATTTTTTTAATTTTATCCTAATAATAAGAATTACTGTATAGCACGAACCATAGTACCCCCCACATCAAAGTACCCTCTATAAAAATTTTTCACAGTTGAATACAAGATACCCGGGTACTTTATTACTTTATACTATGTAAATACACCTCTTATATAATACCCGGGTACTAACTTGGACTTTAGCCGTGGAATGTATCGTATCCGGAGTACTATAATCCGCGCTGTACGGTAATTGGTTCCGTTTCAGTTCCGTCACGGTCCCGGGCTTAGATATGGTTTTTCGGTTCGAGTCCTAAAACCCGGTCCGAACACTACGTGACAGGGAAATTTCTTGTATGAACTCAATTTTTGATAATAAAGAAGTTGATATTAAACGAGGGTCACCTGTACTAAATACTATTACCCTAATTAAACCGAGTTTAGGCTAGTTTTTGAAAAAAACGCGATTGTTTTTACCTTTACGTTACACTTGATCTTGCGTTACTATACACATAGTTTGATTGGAGGATTAAAAAATCAATTCTGAGGTTTAAAAAAAAAAAAATAAAATAACGTGTTTTTCTTGGTGATGGTGCGTTCAAAAACGAAGGTTAATAAAGCAAAAGAGACTTTAATCACGGTTAAAAATAGGCAAACTGGTCCGAAAGGAACCACACGAGAACATGCAATGAAAAAATTACCTGAAGGTAAAGGCTTGTATTTTCTGATTTTTCAATAAAATATAGGAAGTTGTATCTTATGCCCTGCTACTCGGATGATTACATACCGATATGTGAACATTAATTAATGCATACGTTAAATTACTTGCGCAGTTACTAGTCCTAAACGCATGAAAAAAAATAAAAAGAACAAAAAGAACAAGAGCACACCAGTCTTTGGTTTATCGGATGATTTGGTTCATATGTACAACAACCTTGTTGAAAAGCTTCGATCACCAAGTTAGTTTTTTAATTTTTGTATACTTTCATTAAATATTCAATTAATATATGGCATACATAATCTTTAAACAACACGATAGATGAGAATGAACGTAACAAAAGCATTGAAGTTCTGGCGGACCTTGTGGCCACTAAACATATAATAGAACCGACGATGTTTTTGAAATTATGGATATGTTTGATTGAATGTAAATTGTTCTTTTAGTAAATTTCAGGGATTTTCATATTCGGTATCATGTATTAAATCTGATTTCATTACATGATAGGCCTAAAGATGTCCACAGTAGCAGATATGCCCTGTACTATTAGTAATCTTATGGCCGTTATCAATGACTTAAATTTAAACCCGTTTGTCAAGTCGTTTTGGAAGGCTGTGGAAAGAGAATGGAATAACGTTGATAGTCATAGGTATACAGACAAATAACTAATTCGAATTTTTATATTATTATAAGATTATTGAAATGTCTTTTTTTTTTAGAATCAATAAGCTATATGCCATAATCAGATCCTTTATTAGGGCATTTCTTACAAGGATTTCTCGTGATAGTGAGAGTAAGTCGTCAATGCATTCCTTAACAATATTGGAATCGTCGTTAAGGTATGGCTACTGAATTGTGTTGAATTTAAGCCTGACAATGATATTAAAGAATATCATTTATGATCTATAGTTCAAAGACCCCTGATGGGGTTAAATACCATTTGTGTGATGTTTACGTCGACGAATTGGCTTTCGTAGGAACTTTGGTATATATTGAGTAGTGAGGTTTAATCTTTATAATAAATATTATTCAAATGCATCTATTTACTATACATAGGTTAAATGGAAAATACCGATGGCGCAACTGCTACGTCCTTTCCAATCACTTCTTGTTAAAAGTCAAAATAAGCACCTAATAAATAAAATATCGGAAGATGTGCTTGAAAAAATATTAACCGTTATTCCGATTGGTAAGTACACGACCTGACTTGCAGAAAGCTTTGTTTGAATTCTAAAAATTTTTTTCAATATAGGTGAAGGGGCGCGTCACATCAGACTTGAACTAACAAAAATCGTAAATAAGATGATTCAAATTATTAATGATGACAATATGTCTGCAAGATGTAGAAATCAGGCGAAGATAATTGCACAAAAATACCTTCAGACTATTACTGAAATTACTGATAAATTGTCCGACAATGCTGCAGAAGAAATAGAAGAAATGGACGAAGCCTCCAGATCAGACTCTGAAACACCAAATTTGTTAAGAGATATATCCAGAATCAATAGATCCCAAAGACCTTCGAAGTCCATTAGCTGGGGTGTTAATGTTACACGAGGTTTTCCTAATATATTTTCTCATTGTAAATAATATCTAAATGTTAGTTAACTTTGATGTGATTTCACAATTACAGAGTACGTTAAAGATAGCACGGTCCCAGCGAATACTTTGATCACACCATCTACCCCACCCCGAAGTATTCTTAAGCGTAGGCATGGTTACGAAGAGGGTGCTGATTATGAAATTTATAGAATGTCCGATTTAGCTTTATTAAAGCCTGCGAAAAAGTTTCGTGAAGACAAGGATAAATGCTGAGATATGATAACAGTGGAATATTGCAAATCACACATTTTTATTGGTCGACATAAGCAGATTGTAATAATGAATAACGAATCATAAAAACTGTTACACAACTGTTGTGGGCTTTATAATCACTAAATACTATCGAAGGAACACTTATCTCAAAAAGTATTAGAGTAGTTATTAATAATTAATAAGCGCAAGAAAGTTATTGATGTAACATTTGAGGACGTCTAGCAAGTTTAATAAAGGGATTAAATAGTACTTTGAATTTTTGTGCGTTGTGAATTGGTGTGTTTATTATCGGTGATTATGAATATAGTGTAATGGCACAATGATTATCATCAAGATTTTTATATTACAACGAATAATACGTAAACTATCAATTATAATTAACTTTTTTTAAGGACATTGTTATATAGTGCACCGTGCATTTGGTGCACCCCCTGTATCTCAAAATTTTATTAAGATAACCCCTGTTGTATAACTAATAAAAAATATTTGTTACACAATTTTAAGCCTAACCTAACCAAAACCCTATTTGCTTATATAATGTAAAATTTTACTAGGGTAACCCTGTTGTGTAACTAATAAAAAATATTCTTTATACAGTTCGGGACAGTATAAGATATCCACTTTTTACCGCAAAAAGCGCCAAATTTTAAAAAATTTATAATAAAAATTTATAATAAAAAATATTAACCAATCAAATTTCTTAAAAATTATATATAAACTTTTATAAAATTATATATAAGCGCCAAATTTTCAAAAGCTATATATTTTAAACTGTTATAATTTTTTTAAAATTAAAATTTTTAAAAATTCCTCTTTCAGATTTATTCTTTAGATAAAAAAGAACAAAATTGAAAGAGAAATTTTTATTTTAATTTTTTTTAAAAAAGTTATAACGATTTTAAGCTACTGTACTATATAAAAAGTGGATGTCTTATCCTGTTCCGAACTGTACAATTTTACTAATAAAATAATCTTTGTTTTAATCTTAATTCTTATATTAAACTAATATTACATTTATTAGATTTCTACAAGGGGGTACACCAAATACATTGATGCATTATTTAATATTTCCCTTTTTGGACACCCTTTGTTTATCAGTTTGTAGTAAAAATTTAGATAAGAGTAAATATATTTTATTTAATGGGTTATTTTTTATAGCATTGTTAAATCATGTATTCAACACTACTATAATTTTTGCTATGAGCTGCAGTGTAATGTAAAGATCAGATGTAATACAAAAATTATTGTTTATTTTTTAAAAAATAGGTATAACTTAAAATTTTATCTAGTAGGTTAGTAGTGTCATAAAAAATTGACAGTCACGTGATAAGTTTTAATTCAAAATTTTATCTTTACATATTAAGGGGTGTGTCATTTATCACATAATATTTTTTACTTAGTAGCCACCCCTATCCATGTATGGTGTGATCACCTCTAGCTTGATTCTGATTAGCTGATTTAATTAATTATTAAAAAGCTTTTTAATATTTTTAAATTGAATAACTTTTGATCTACTGGTCCGTTTTGGATGATTTAACTGTCAAAATATTCATCTTGATGAGACAATTCTAATAAGTTCAAAATCACTAAAATCCAATTACAGGATCCTGAGATCGTTAAGGTTTTTTGTACTATTTCATATATAATAAAATTAATTTAATTATATACAAAATAGTACAAGAAACTTTAATGATCTCAGGATCCTGTAATTAGATTTTAGTGATTTTGAACTTATTAGAATCATCTCATCAAGATGAACATTTTGACAGTTAAATCATCCAAAACGGACTAGTAGATCAAAAGTTATTTAATATTAAAGATTTATTAAAAAATATATATAATTTATATATTATATATTTCATTATATTTGATTATATACTATATTATATATATATATATATATGTGATTTCTCATCTGACCATATATCCATGATATAAATCACATGATTTCTGGCTATATTATAGTTAAAAATTAGATATATAGTAATAAAATTGTTCAAGAAAAACTTTTTATTAATGTTTGAAAAGTGGTTTCTTATACAAGTTTTTGAGAAATTAGTGATTATTGATAAAAAAGATATTTGTTTTAAATTTTCTGATTGTATTATGTTATACTTGATCTTTGAAATCTAATTGTTAACATCGCAAAATTATCATATAACTAACAATTTTTTATAGCACTACTAACCTATCTAATTTATCTATAAAACTATCTTTAGGGCTCTAACAAAAAAATTTATTGCAAAAATTTTGATATAAATTATATCTATACTCTATTTCAAACCTCAACCTTAACCTTAATATTAAACAAAATTTAAATTTTGTTTTGATAAAAATTATTTTAATCTATATATTACACAGATTTTTATATAACTGGTATTAAACATCACATATATGATTTATAATTTTTGATTTTTTATATTTTCTATATTTATTATTTATATACTCTTTTAATAAAAAAAACAGTTGATCTTTAGTATAGGTGAGTATATATAATTATTATATAATTATAATATATATAAATTAACTATTTTAAATTAATTTAAGTAATTTTATAAATTATCAGGATTAGGGTTAAGGTTAGAATTTAAATTGGCTCAAATTAGTTAGATTTTATATATTATAATCTTGTAATAATTTATATATACCTACCTATACTAAAGAAAATTCAAAAAACTTTGAACAAAAATATTTTGACTAACATCTGATCAAATTTAATAAAATTTTTTTGGTTTTTAATTCTAAGTCTAGAAAATTCAAATTAAAAAAATTTTATTAAATTAATTAAGTTGTTGTCAAGATATCTTTGTTTAAAGTTTTAAAAAAATTTAAAACATCTATCAAAATAAATTTTTTTAAAACTTTGAAGATATCTTGACAATAAAATTTTTTTTCTTTCTGCTAATTATCAAAACACAAATTTTCAAAAAAAACAAAATCACAAAAACTACAAAAAATACACCAAGGCCACTAGGAAACTAAACTTGAAACTCTAAGAAAAAAGAAAGAGAACTACAAGAAACACCTAGTCTCTTAGAAAACTTGAGTAGAAAAAGCAAAACCAGCAAAAAAATAGAAGAAGTTATGAAAAATTATCGATATTTTTTTTGCACTTTATGAATTTTTGGAGAATCAGCCTTAATACTGAATCGTAGATCTGTTTTGGTGATACAAAAAATATAATACATAATGAAAAGTAAACAAAGAAAATATAACAAAAACCATGATGAAAGTAAACAAAGTCATTAAAAACATGCAGCAAACAATATCTTTCAATAGCAATAGAAAAACAACAAGTCATATGAAGCAAATATTTACAGAACGTCTAGTAAAAAAAGTTGAAATACCTGAAAAGATGAAAGTGATATTAAAAGAAATCCAGGCCCTAATAGCAAAAACACCTAAACAAGACATAGATAAAATTATAAAGAAAATAATGGCAGAATATACTAAACAGAAAACTATTCCAAAAGAATTAGCTGATAAACTAGAAATAGTTTTAAAAAACTGTTGTAAGTCCAGAGCGAAAAAGTAAGACCAAATTTTTTATATACACAATATATAAGTGATCGATTTACATAGTATATCACGTAGCATGCGTACGGACAGACATCCTTTTTCGAAATTACATTCTTGATTTGTTTTTATTGTTGATCACTATAATACATCAAAATCGTAACTTTTGATGTATCAAAAAAGCAACTTTTGTATCACTTTACTTGTCTATTAGGGTCTTCTGCTATGCTCCAGACAACAAATAAAAAAGCTTTATGAAGAGCTATAGCAGTATAACAAAGGAGAATTAAAATACACAATATCTGCACTTATAGAAAGAGAATAAGAGATTTTCTACGAAGCAATACAAGATGGTAATGACCCTGTTAATCGTATTATAAAAGAAAAAATATATGGCATCATGGTGAAAGTAAGACTAGGTGATGAAGTAAGAAAAGGACTAATAGATAGAGAAAAGCAAGTTGCTGAAATAAAGGCGAAAATAGAATTAGGTTGGAGCAAAAGACTCCAAGAACAAAGAAGTAGCTAACAAAAACAGCATAACAAAACAGCACTGAAATCTATAGTACAACAATTCAAAGAATCTGTTAAGTCTTTTGCAGCAGTACATCATGAGACCAAGAAGAAAATCAAAGAAGCAAAAGAAAAGAAGATACAAATCATGAAAAAGAAAAAACAAGCAGCTGAAATTAAGTCAAAATTAGAAACAGGCTGGAGCAAGAAACTTTAGGAACAAAGAAAAATTTGACAAAGGCAAAATAACAAAATAGATTTGAGAACTTTGGTTGTAAATTTCAAAGTATTAGCCAAGCTAAAGTTAGCAAAACAAGAGAAAAAAAAAAGAAAGACCAAAGAAAGAAGAGAAAAGAGAGTTAGGAAACAAAAGACCAATAGTTTTGTCAAAGTAGAAATCCTAGATATACTTCAAAAAGATCTAAGACCAAAAACTGAATTAACAAATCCAACAGAGTGGCTGATTGAAGTAATATACCAATTAAGTATTATAGACGTACAGAATAATAATAGAGTATGGAAGTTGAAAGAGAAAGATCTGCTTATAAAATGGATACAGCTTTTGAAAGCCCAAAAAACCACTGATGTGAATTGGATTCAAGATACATCAATATATAGACAAAAAGGAACCAAAAACTGAAAAAAGAAGAAAAAAGATACATTAATAAAGATACTAGAAAAGATCTTTGTAAAAATCTTTGAAAACCGAAGTATGTAGAATAAAATACAAGAGGTATTTTTGAGAAGAAAATCAAAGCCTAGAAGAAAAAA